GGAAAGAAGTCACCTAGGGATGCTGCCCTGCTGTCACAATTGCATAAGAACTTCTAGAAAACAAAAACTGCAAGAAAAAGAGCATGAGAACAATATGTCAAATATTCAAAATTTAGTGGTTTTCCCACCATTTTTAATAAGCTATCAAACAAAAGCAACTAATATAACAGTAGACAGCTCTCAAGCAAAAGGGAGAAGAGAAATTATCAAACACAACACACACAAAAAACTCCAAATTGTCAAACTGCCATCAACCTCCAAACTGTCAAACCAGTTTTCAAACCTCAACAACCAACCTTCGAAAAATGATAAACCATTTCAATACCATCAAACCAAATCTGAACAAACTCCTCAAACCTATTAACCAACAAATCCAAAAACAACAAAAACAGTCAAAAACCAAAACTGCATAACCAAAGGCAACCAAAAACCTGTCAAGACTTCCAAAAGTATCAATCCAAAAACAACAAACTCAGAAACAGGGCCAAACCAACAGCAACATACAAAATCCTAAACCAACAGCAACATACAAAATCACAAAACTCTCAAGCCTGCAACATTTCAAGCCAATATCCCAAGCCTGATCTCAAGGCCACAAACAAACCTTCAAAACTGTATAACAAAAACCTGTTGATAACTAACAAGTCCAAAACCAGAAAAACATACTCAAACACAACCTGCAATCCATCAACAAAACATACCAAGCCAAACTGTAACAACAACCTGCAAAAGCCAAACTATAACAAAACCAAAAAACCTCAAAGTCTGAAACTGATAAAAAACAGTAACAGCATCTGAACCAACAACCACCATCAAATCTGTAAAGCAACTGACTCAAAACATATCCAAAACATCATCAAACTAAAACCATCATCACAAAACCAAGTTCCAGAATCAGTAAAAGCTGATAAGAAACATCCAACAATCACAAAAAATCACAAAACCCAGAAGTACAACATCATCATCATTCAAAGCTCAAAGGACAGAAAGAAGTTACCAGAAAAGCAAGGCATTCAATCATCATCTCTTCCTCCTTGCGAATTCCGCCACAAGGGAGCGCCTCCCTCAGTCTCACTACCCTTTTTTTCGTTTCACAGAAAAAATTCCACAAGTATGATTACTTTACATTCCTCATAACATTTCCTACATCGCAATGGATAGTACAATAGGTTAACAGAAAAAATATGAACAAGATAAAAAACAAAAAAAATCGCTCAAGCTTCAAAGTTATAGAACTTAACCTTTTTTCAAGAAACAAAGCCATTAGGGCTTGGTTAGACGGTGAGGGAGAGAGCTCCGGTAACAGAACTTTGGGGGGAAGATCAGATAAGCATAAATTTGACCTTAGGGTTTTCATAGAAAACGCGAATCGCCGTGAGATGATGAGAGATTAGGTTGTTAGGAGAGTGATTTGTTCATGAAATTAGGAAGAGGTGAGTAACAGAGATCAGAGATGAACAAAATTGGAAGAGAGGGACGAAAGGTGCGAACGGCGCCGCTCTGTACCAAGGGGTTCCATAAACCCTAATCTGTTTGTTTACCCTAATCAAATAATTTTTGCCATTTAGGAGCTTTGGGCCTGTTTAGGTATAAACCCTTTAAGCCCACACGATTATTGGCTCACACCCCCCCTTTTGTCTCATTTTTGTTAAACAGCAAAACACCATTGGGCCTCTCATCTAAATCCTTAGGCCCATTTTTTCTTTTTCTTTTTTAATTTGTTTATTTTGCTTTGAAAGATTTTTAAATAAATCTTAAAACCTTTTTTTATTAATTTAGATTTTAGTATTTAATTATTTTCATTTTCTTTTTTACAACTTATTTTTATTAACCTTTTTACATTTAATAAAAACACCAAAAGAATTAACTTAGCTTATTTTCTTTCTTTAAGTTTGTTTACATAATTAATAAAATACATAATAATAAAGATTTATAATTCAAATCAATTTCTTTTTTAGAATAGGTTTTATTTTTTCTTTTTCAAGTAAATACATACATTTCATACTTTGTTGATTTTATAATTTCTCATAGCTTTATCTTAAATTGCACAATAATTCAATTTGGTTGTATTGCTTGATATTTGGACATTGCTATTTTTATTTGATTCATCCCCATTTGTAACAATTATACCCCCATTCCCGAATACATTTTGTAATAGCATAGAATTTCAATTCCCGCAATTTACTGTTTTCCATATACTGTATAGTAACTAGGCATGTATGGCAAGATTCAAAAAGCAATCGCTAGATGACCTAATCAAAGAACAAATAACTTGAAATCAACACACTTTCTCACACGTGCACCTCTAGGGTAACCTCGCTCGTTGCCTCGGAAATACAATCATGTCCCTCGAGTATGAGACACTCTAGCAAATGGCCCTTCGATAAACAAAGATCGTAGACCCTCAATGTTGCCTTCGATTAAAAACGATCTCGTCCCTTACAAAAAATTGCTAGAGCGTCTCACATGTTGCCTTCAATAATTATAAAATTGACCCGCGCCAGTCCCTTTACATCCAATGGTGGGGCTTCTTACCAAATCAATGGTAAGATAGCACCATTAAAAGGAAGAAGAAAAGAACAACTTAAGACCTTTCGAGTAGATAGATTCACTCTTAGTTACTCGCTTGCTCACGACAAAAACGTTTACACCTACACTCCCATTTCAAAACATTTTCCAAAAAGATAAAACATTTTGTATACGTTCTTATAGAGACGAGAACCATTACAAAGAGATTTTTTTCAAAATACTTTCAAAGCCCACACCACAAGCACACAATCAAACAAAAGCAAGTGATCTAAAACGAGTAACTAAGAGCCCATGGAAAACCATGGATGAAAAGGGTGCTAATACCTTCCCTTTTCATAATCTACCCCCCGAACCCGAGAAAATTCTCGAAAGGTCTTTCCTGTGCTTTTTTAACTTTCCTTTTAGATAAAAGAAAAGTCGGTGGCGACTCTTGCTAACCGCACAAGTGCGAATGAAACGCAAAACATCTAGTCAGTTCTCCCACCGTATCACACTAGGTAATACTCGTGAGATTTTCTTGATCTTTGTCTTTCAAAGTAGAAACTATGTACCTTGAAACCATATTGTACTTCGTCATGTCATTCACAAACTTTCTTTCACGGTCTTTTAGACGATCCAATATTTCATGGCCTTCTAAACCCATATATATCCTATGATTGTGCACCTCGCATCTAATCATCATCTTCCAATTGATACCACTTGGAACAGATCTCAGCCTAAAAGGACATTTAATCTTCATACTATAAATGCTATCAGAGAAATTAGTGATTTCATATGCATTTTTTCTTTTGTAATTTCCTCCTCTCTCACAGCCTATAATTAATTTAGTCTTCCTCCCTCGCATTCCATTAGCAGAATCAGAACGAACATTAACAACAATAATACCATGTTGTTTACCAGTAGATTGTGCCCATGCTAAACTTCAGATCGGGATTTAAAAATCTGTCAATTACAACATATAATTATTAAACTTTATAAGTTTCATAAATGACGGAAAATAATTAAAACTACATTAATTCAATAGAAAACATACAGTATCTGGGGTGAAGAACTCCTATAATATGTACATGAATCCGTAGAAGAAGCTACAGGCTCTGGACCACACAGATACAAAATTTTATCTACAGACATACCAGAAATTTCAAGCTTATGCAAAATTTCTGATATTACGTTTCGTCCCAGAAATTCAGTAAATTTCCAGTATATTTTCCAACTTGGTTTTCCCCGACAATTTTGAAATTCCCATTAAATCGCTCCGGAAATTTGAAAATATCCAGTAAATCGCCATCGAAAATTTTGAAAATGCAAACAATTTCCGATAAATGCACAATCGAAAATTTGGTTCTGCGTATCGGAAATTTCGTTTTTCACCTGTTGACCAATGGTAAAAAAATTGACAAGTATAATTTTTTTAGAGATAAATAATATCAGGGGTATTTTTGGAATAAAAAAATTGGGAAGTGTCGGGTAAAATACTCTCAAACATATCATCCCATCCAAACCGATTTCATTTCATCTTTCATAAAATCATTCAACCCATGTTTATCACTTCAAAAAAAGAATTTAATCATCAGTCTATATTAGAAATAGATTTCTAGTAAGATTCTGTTAGTATCAAAAAGGTTTAGTTCTACCGAATCTTTTTTATGTTTAATAGAGTATTAAATATAGTATATAGTTCCCTATTCTTACACATAAGATCCTAAAAAAAGGAAATGGAATTTTTTGAAACATACAATAAAGTTATCTATTGACTCACTGACAAAAATATTCTGATTATGAAGAGCAACAAAGGCCTCGTCTTCATCCAACTCTCAGGAGATTCCAAAAGGAAAAAGAACCAAAATGCAAGCAAACAAAGAATCTCCTCGTCCTCATGTTAAAATCATCCCACCAAGTGTTCCTGATTTTACTCATGTCTCTGCTGCTTTTAGCCAGAGTCAGAATTTAGCTGCTTTAGTAAGAAAGGCTGTACACTTACCGTTTGAAGAGGATCAGTATTAACAAACCAAAAGGAATAAAGAAGAACGTTGTTTTGAAGTACAAAACTTGAATGAAACGAGATTTAGGTAGGTTTTTCAAAAAATGTAAATTGTCTACTAGGCAAAAGGACTCCAAATCCGACAAATGATAGCAATTACCCTTTCGTTTGACTGTGTGATGATGCAATGCTAAACCATAGGAAGGACACTTCCTAAGGAGATCCTATAACATCTCAATCAACAAAATAAACAAGAAGCCTAATGGAGATTTTAAAAAATCAACCTTACACTGATATATCCAAAGCCGATTAACTGAGGTGCCACAAATTTTAGTATTATACAAAACAAAAACGCGGCGCAAAATTCTAAATCTGTAAGTACAAACATTTGTACTGTTTAAGAATAAAAAATATAACAAACGCTGCAATCTACAAACTCTAGGACACAGACAAAGGGAAATCTAATAGTTTCACGACAATAACCAGTTTCTCAACAATCCTTGGAAGCCGAAGGATTTTCATCAGATGAAACAGTATCTTTGGGGGATGGAGATGTAGTTGCTCTCATTTTCAAATCACCTAATTGTTGTTGCTGCTGCTGTTGTTCCTGCTGCTGCTGCTGCTGCATTTGCTGCTGCTGCTGCTGTATATGTTGTTGATGTTGTTGAAATTGATGCTGAAATTGATGCTGCTGCTTCTGAGGATGAATTTGGAGCTGTTGAAACTGTTGTGCAGCTAAAAGAGTGTGCATGGCATGATTATTATTATTATTATTATTATTTGGATAGAACTGCTGCCCCCCTCCAAAAGATGCAAAGTTCATCATAGGTCCTCCATTTGGTGGTATAGCTTGCCCAGTCAGTACTTTCAAATGCTGAATTTCCTCTTTTAATGCATCATTTAGAGCTTCAAGGACAAAAGTAAAGGTGAATTAGCTTTCATAATATTAATAGTGCTGAGATCAATATGAACTTATCCACCTTGCATACACTCACATGCTTACACATTAAAAGCTACTAAACTGAAGTTTCAGGTAAAATCCCACATTTCAACTTTTATTCAACCAGAAAACCAACCCAACAATAAAATTTCGCACCCAACCTCACACTAAATATGCATAAAATATTATATCATACTGTGTTTTGAAAGGATATTACACATAATATTCATAAAATAGTCTTCCGATAAATATGTTTCAGAGAGAGTTAGAGTTAGCAAGAGAAGCAACTAAAACAGCAGAGCAGTAGGGTTCAGAAACATCTAAAATGCCCCGGGCTTACCATCCTGCAAGTGAACTTGTTGTTCCATGGTTTGCAATCGCAGCTTCAGCTCACTGTTCTCAGAATTCAGTCCGTTTGTATCTCTCTGCTCATAATAGACCAAAATATGTTTAACATAGTCATCAAACTAGCTTTTCAATCAGAAGGTGATTTAGTAATTTGTAATAGCAAAGCAATCAACATCTTAATAACAAGCACAAGCGTCAATACCTGCAAGAGAGTTAATTGTGCAGACAAAGATGTTGCTTCTGTTTGCAGTGTCTGCACTTTCCTTTCAAGCTCAGCAATGTATCGCATCTTCCTCTCTTTTGACCTTGCAGCAGACTGCCTATTTGCCCATATCCTGTTGCAGGCAATTGTAAGTGGTGTGTGTCAACGTTAGAAAGTTCCAAAACCAAAAAAAAAAGAGATAGGAAAAAACAACAGAATATAGTTCTTACACCCTCCACTTTTCAAGTGCAGGAGATAAAACAAAATAGGCTTAGGGGAACCGTTCTATCCAAGCAGCATTTCAAAACTACACGCTGCAATGCAGGCAGAGTATCAAAAAGCAGGATATAGGGATTCTATGGAATAATAATAGCCACAACCCAAACAACAGCTTTACAAAGTAACTGCCGATCTAGAACTGCCAAAACAATGTTAGGGTAACTGCAATTAGTGTTATTGTCAATGAAATGTTAACACTCTCCTTCTAGTAAAAATAGCGCAACCTGGTGTTATAGACTACTTCCATGGCATCTAAGGAAGAGTTGGATCCATTATTTATGGGTTATTATTGTAGAAAGTCTTACCTAGCATTCGCAAAACATTTGCAACAGACGGATTTAACAACGTGATCAGTGACTTTCTAGTCATACTGCAGCAACTACAATTTATACTTAGTAAGCTTACAATTTTTTAAGCACCCCTGTCTATCACTGTTCATTTCAATACATTGAGTCTAAATATTTAACTATGCCTGCCATTGTCTCTAGTCTTTCTCAAAGATAAGTCATAAGTAACTATTAAACTTGACAGGATACTTAATGTCATGTTAATGTCGTCAAAATCGAGATCTTGAATAAGATTGGGAAGGGATAGCAGCAAGATCACAGCATATCGAATCGCAACTAGAATCGCAAGATTCTACTTAAATAAATAATTACCTAAGATCGGAGGGGGATCGCAGAAGGTAAGATCGCATGATCGCAGATGGTAAGATCGCAGAAGGTAAGATCACAACCAAAATCTTTAGATTGCAACCAAAATAAAATTAAAAAAATCGCGCACATTGCATAAAATAAATTAAGCCTTTTCCATTTAAATATAGCTGATTTAAGGAAAGAAAAAGGAATTTTATAGTTATGGAATATTTTAAATTGATTAGTCGTCATTTTACTTAACTTATAGTTGGGCCTTCATGAAAAAAACAGCCCAAACCTATGTTAATGTAGTACAAACACAACAGTAAAGGAATAATGCTAATGAGTTGGACCTAAAGTAGCCGAATACCCTTCTGCCTTCTCTAACAGAAACGAAACCCTAAATTTCTTTTGTCCCCAGCAGCCTACCAACATCAGGAGCAATGCTGCCATCATTCTTCTCGTCTTTCTTCTTCCTCTTCCAGAGAGGGCATGGACATGATCCCAAATGACAACCAGACACAGTGAGATGTTTGGGAAAAGATGGTTGTTTAGAGAGGTGACTGCACAGAGAGATCTGCGAGAGAAGACAAAATTGCAAGACCCGAGTGCGGCCTGCAAATGGTTTTTTTTTTCTTCTGAAAACAGCATGAGGACACGATCTCACCAGTTCTGTGAGATTTTTCACAATCTCACTGTGATCACAGCAATGTAGGATTCTGCTTAAGATCGGGATCGACAGGCTTGCGTAAAGTCGAGAATCACAGGATCTTGCGATTTAAATGGTGATTTTAACAATAGTCGTGTATGCACATAAATATCAATCACAACATAAAACAAAACCTTACAATATTTAGTTAAAAACATACACATACAGCACAGTGTTCTTTCTTGTGGTTCATGTTTTGTCATGCTTTCTTTTGTGTTTCTGAAATTCTTCAGGAATGCACTTCTATAGGTCTTCTAGAATCAATCTAGAGTTTCATCTCTTAGATTTTTTCTAACATAAGTTTATCTAAAATCCTATTCCACCTCAAAGCTGCAGAATTTGTCGAAAATGCTTTTAGATCCATGAAGTGGATTTTGGGGGACATGTATATTAATTTGCTAAACATGTTTATATAACACCTAATTTACGTATGCTAAATCAAGCACCAATAAATAATTAATCATAATATAGCATGCAGAAAGCAATGTTTTGTTATGCTATGTAGAATTACTTAAAATGATTCTGAAACATTAGGGTAAAAATGACTCGTCCAGAAATAATACCTTTTTGCACGCTTTGGGTCAATCAAGGCAAGTTCTGCAAGCTTTGCCGCAGACATTGCTTTTTTGGAATCAGCTGCAGACAAGTCTTCTGAACCCGAGACTAACATCTCAGGTTTGATGGTTGTTGACCCATCCATGGATTGGCTGTGCTGGTGTCTAATTCTAGGCCTTTCATTGTTACCAACGGCAGCATTCTCTCCAGAAGAACTACCTGCTCCCGAAGCCTGCCCTGCCAAAATCGGCCCCAAACCCGATCCCGCTCCAGCATTAAACTGCTCACCCATTTGAAACGTTGATGTTGCAGACGACGAATTGAACTTATCCATATCAAGGTACATCGACAGCAAGTCTTCCTCAGTATCATCAGAGAACGACGGCCCATCAGCACCACCAACTACACCAAGGTCACTATCAAAGCTAATATCATCAGGCAGTGTAAGAATCTCAGAATGAGCACGCCTATGACCTCTATTCCTCGGAGGATTAACAGACATTCTGCTAATATCCTGACTAAAACCACTAGAATCTGAACTAGTAGCAGGAGCAAGCGGCGGAAACGACGACGACGAAGGTTCCGATTTCACATTGAAACCACTCCCAGTAGGAGAATAACCCGTAAAACGTCCCGACGGAGGCGGAAAACCACCGCCAAGACCCAAAGATTTGTCCTTTTCCATTCCAAATCCCCTAACCCTAAACAACCTTCCACAATCTCAAACCTAATCCAGTTCAATCACTTCAAAACCCTAGTAACAAATCAACACATCAAAAAAAAAAACTAAATCAGTTTCAAACAACTATATATTCCCTATTCCAATCCACCTCATTGCATGACAAATAAAAATAGAATGCAAAAATTGAAAGAAAAAAATTTATAAAAAATAATCAATTTCATTGTTGAAATTTGAAATGATGGTGAGTAATAAGAGCGTAAATTTGAAGTTGGAAGGAGTGAAAAATGTTACCTTTGCGCGTAGATCAGCGAAGATCGGAGGAGAGAAAGAAAACCCTAGAAATGAAATTGGGATCTGAGAGAAAGAAGAGAGAGAAAATGAAAAACCGAAGCTTATATAACTCAAGACATCATTCTCGTCAATGAAACAACCCAGAGAAACACAGACACATGTATTGTATTCTACGGTATATGTTTTAAAACATTTTATCTACAATTACTACTACTCAATCCAAGTGTCCTAAGAAAATAATTGTTTAAGAACCCTTCTAGTTTTAAGTTTAGTAACTTTCCCTCTAAATCCTCTATAATAATTTCTTAATTTTTTGTTTCTAACCTTTTTGTGATTATGCTATTATCTAAAAATTAAATTGATGACCAAATATGTAAATCCATCAAATCATTTTTAAGTGGATTATACATGAAATTGAATAAGTGCATTATCATATGGATGTATTTACGCGTTTAAGTTATTTTTTATCGTTGAATTAAGATATATTGTTCGGTAAAATATATTTTTAATTTTTGTTTTATAATTTTAAATGTCAAATTGAAATTTTTACCATTCAATCTTGATCAAACAACTACTAATATTTTGAATGTATGAATATGTGATTATCGACTGCAAAGAAACTCAATGTACTGTACATAGACTTACTATCCATTGAGCTCGTGATTCATGGTAGGGTTATAGGATTAAATCCAATTCCTCCATGGTCCATATTCTCAAACAAACAATCATTTATCTTTTTGTTTATATTTGTCTCGACAAACTTTACTAATCACAATCATTGATAGTTTTTTAAGGTCATTTAATAACTGGTTAAAATCGTCTATTATATCTTGTTTACCAAATTGATAGATGAGATTGAGATCATTGAAATCTCTTATAATGCACTACAAAAGAATAAATTAGTGGGATGAAGATCTAAAGATATTCAGTTATTCTTATTGTTCTCATTTGTGAAATGCCATAAAACCACATTAATTTTCAAAATTCCATGTTATCATCTTCATGGATAATCTCATATTAATAAATTTCTATAAATAATATGTTATTCATCATTAACAATTAACCATTAATAGTAATAAATTAAATATTTTAATCTACATGCATGAAAAATGAAGGTTTAAATTTAAAAAAAAAAAAAATTATTATATCCAATATTTCTTATGATGGTTTTCATATGCACGTCTTCGGATAGTTTTTTTCGAGTTGTTACTTCATATTGTTGATGACGGTTCTTTGGCAAATTCAGTCCTACCATGGTGTTTCTCTCTTATGTTTGTTCTGTTTCATCTCGTCGACAGTTGATTCAGGCAAATCATTATTGCTGGTGGTCTTGTTCATCAAACGCATGTGATAGTTTTTGGGTAGACATGAAAGAAAATCATGGTTTACTCTATTTCATCCCGTCGACGGTTGATTCAGGAAAATCATCATTGCTTGGTGGTCTTGTTTATCAAACGTCGGTGATAGCTTTTGGGTATACATGGAAGAAAATTATGGTTCTGGATTGAATTTGTGTTACTGTAACACCCCTTAAATCCCCACGCAATAATATGGTTTAATAAGAGTAAAATTATCATGCATATCAAAATAGTGTATCACATGTATTTCAAAACCAACACAAATACATTGGTCATGCTCATAACACTCATATAAAATTATGTTCCATATACTAACACATATGGATATCATAACAGAATAGCTCTCTTTTCAAAAACGATACCAATAATTGGATCTCATAATAGAAATAATGTATTAAAACATTAGGCACTAAAGACCAATCATCAGATAATCTCAAATACAATATAAAATAAAAGAGATTATATCAAGCATATCTTAAAACAACATGAGTTCAAACGTTTCTCCGTGTTAATCCTTGCGATAAAGCACCACTACTCTTCAGTACCTGAGTGATTTCGTATAAAACATCATTTCAACATAAGGGTGAGAATTCACATCATTATAGAAATATATAATAATAAGTAATGCATAACATACATACATCAATTGGATTCATCATACTTCACATATTCATGTATTCAATACTATCCAATCTAATTTACATGTTTACATATACAATATTGCTCAACAATCCATAATTCAAATGATAATCAATCACAAATACCACGAAATATAACATTCACATCAATATCACATATTGCACACCAATTCAATATTTCACATCGCCACATATGACTCAAATGCAACTTCATATGATGCAAGATGCATGCGGTACCAATTGTTATCCTTACACAGTTTTCACGTTTAAATCGGGCTCATCTCCAAGACAGATAACCACCAAAAAGTATGTCCTCTACGCTTTCAAACTAGTCCTCTAGGTTTGGAACAAGTCGGTAGCTCTCTCAAAAACTAGCAAATGTTGCCTCTTAACAACAAATGATACATGTGCAATCTCCACAATTATAAGCAATTAACATCATCTCTCAATCTTAATTATACAAGCATATATCACATAATTCATCTCATTTTAAATTATCACACAATTTCACATACAAACACATATTCATAATCATAACATCCTTGCTTCAAACATCATCACCACACATAGCAAGTAATACACAAAGTATCATCACAATCCAACCTCAATTCACAAAATTCACATCACCAATTAAACATATAATAATTAATCCATCATCAATAATTAAATTCAATAATCATGTTATAACTAAAATTATCAATAATTTAGTAAACATGTATTATTATTCGGCAGCTCCAAATTGCTCTACTGACAACTCTAAACATGTGAGAGTTACACAAAACAAATAAAATATGACTCTTAATAACTCAAAACAACTCTGACAATTCTATTGACAACTCTAACAACTCTATAAACAACTATAACAAAATTGAAATTAACTTAAATCAACTAAATTATCTAATATTTATCTCTAACTCAAAACTCCTAAAAATATTATATTAATAATACTAAATCATTATTACTAATATTATTATTCTAATAAAATATAGAAATGTTGCTATAGTGTTAATGCATTATGTCATAAAGGAATTCTATCTCACTATATAATTCATGTGAAGTGATATCTATAGTAATATATTTATCTTTAAATATGTGTATCATAAAAAAATGTATATATATATATATATATATATATATATATATATATATATATATATATATATATATATATATATATATATATATATATATATATATATATATATATATATATATATATATATATATATATATATATATATATATATATATATATATATATATATATATATATGAAGGAATGGAATGGTTACTCTATATCCTTTTCTAGGATTCTCTCTTCTTCTCTTCTCTTTTCTCCTCTTTTTCTCCTTCTTCTCTTCTCTTCTTTTGATAACTTCTCTCTCTAGATCTATTTTCTCTTTGTTTTACATACTAACTATTATTTTATTCTGATGGCTTATCTCACACACCAACACTAATGTGACACATAAGACCTAATTAATTAACAATAGTATTCTCACACTTACTAACTCAATTACACATATAACACATATTCTCAATTTATAAAATAAATCATATATCACACATCACACCAATTAATCCAAATAACTCACATATTCACAAATCACACAATTTAATTAATTACTATATTATATAATAATTAATAAAAATATATAACTAATAAAATAACTAGTAAATAAAATTGGGGTGTTACAACTCTCCATCACTTAAAAGATTTTCGTCCTCGAAAATTAACTCAAACAAACAACTCAGGATAAGACTCTCTCATCTGGCTCTCGAGTTCCCAAGTCACGTTTCCACCCATTAGTCCTTCCCAAGCTACCTTCACCAAGAAAATCTCTTTACCACGAAGCTGCTTCAACTCTTGATCCTCTATCCACATAAGTGATGTCTCCACAGTCAGGTTATCTCTTACATGTACATCATCTAATTGGACCATATGAGATATATCCTCAATGTATCTCCTCAATTGAGACACGTGAAACACACCATGGAGACACTACGAAAAAAACAGTTTTTGGCAGCGCATCTACGAAAGCGCTTTCGTAGCCTTTAAAAAAATTCGCTTAAAAAAAGCGCTTTTATAGGGTTCCCTACGAAAGCGCTTTTCAGAAAGCGCTTTCATAGGTATTTGAAATATCTAACCTACGAAAGCGCTTTTGAAAAGCGCTCTTATAGGTGGCCCTATAAAAGCGCTTTTGAAAAGCGCTTTGAAAGGGGGACCTACGAAAGCGCTTTCTAAAGCGCTCTTATATGGGGGACATACGAAAGCGCTTTTTACCTCAGAAGCGCTCTCATATGGGGGGCATACGAAAGCGCTTTTAAAAGCGCTTTCGTAGGTTGTTTTTATAATAAAATTAAAAATCCCTAAATCTGTTCTTTAGTCTTCTTCATTTCTTTCGTTCAGATCTTCTTCATTTCTTCGTTCGTCTTAAGCTTCCTCATTTCTGCCGTCGCCGCCGTTCGTTCCTTCCTCTTCAGTCGTCGCCGCCGCCGTTCGTTCCTTCCTCTTCAGTCGTCGCCGCCGCCGTTCGTTCCTTCCTCTTCAGTCGTCGCCGTCGCCGATCATTCCGTCTTCTCCACCTTGGTAAGATTCTGAATCAATATAGTGTAGGAATGGTTCAAGCTTAGCATTTTCCTTCTGCATTCCGTCATTCCGTTGGTGTAACTGCCAGAATTTTAATATAGTGGTAAATGGTGTAAAATCTATATA